TTTAGAGGTCAGAGGACAAAAGTCAGTTCTGTTCTAGAAAACTGGGCCTGAGGTCCTCCCCCACCCGAGTGCTTCCCAGCTCCCCCACCTCACAACACTCCATGGCGCTGCCCAGGTGGCCTAGCAGACGGTAGGCCACAGCCATGTGGTACTGGCTCATGGCCCGATACTTGAGGCTCCAGCCTTTGCCATAGTCGTTGACAAGCTCTGCAGCCTTGCAGGGGAAGAACAAGGCTTTCTCATAGTCCTGCAGGGACACAGAACAGGAGGGGGGGACACATTGAGTGGTAGGAACTGTCCTAAACCCAGGGCTCCAGACTTGGGTTCTCTGACAACCAGGGAACCCCAATTTTTTTTTAAATATTGCACGAGTTAGCCACAAACTTATAGTCTTCCTGACTATGCCTCCTGGGTACTAGGATCACAGATATGCACCATAGTGGTCATAGTCAGCTCATTTTTTTAAAGTTTTTTTAATATTTATTTATTTGCTATGTATACAGTGTTCATTCTGCCTCTATGTACACCTGCATGCCAGAAGAGGGCACCAGGTCTCATTATGGATGGTTGTGAGCTGCCATGTGGTTGCTGGGAATTGAACTCAGGACCTCTGGAAGAGCAGCCAGTGCTCTTATCCTCTTGAGGCATCTCTCCAGCCCCCAGCTCATTCTTTATTTTGGCCTCCAGTGGTAAGTATGATCCAGGTAGAAGGGGAAGCCAGTGGACAGGTATGGTCTCTTAGGATGGCTGCTGTGTGCCAAGTGCCTAAAACAGTTCTTAGACTTGGCTGATATGTAATAAATATTTGTTTATTGAGTGAAAAGGCAAAACACAGCTGGCTTCTCCTCTCATTCTGTCCTAGACGGGCTTCTGAGGGGTTTATCCGAGTCCCCAGGAGCAGCTGCTCCTGAGGGCTGAGACAGTTCTATCCCATCAGCACCAGAGAACATCAGAACAGGTTTGGCATGCCCATGAAATCCTTCTAGGAACGCTTCCTCCTCAAACTCACAAAAGCTCCCTCATAAAGAGCCAATGCCGTCGCCTCCCACTCATCAGGAAAGCAGGAGCTCAGAGGACTGCCCTGTCTGTCCACTCTTAGCCACATCCTCTGCCCTACATCTTGGTTCTCTTCCTGTGCCTCCATCCATGCCATGGGAACCAACCCCCGGGCCCAAGCCCCACATCTGCATCTTTGAAGTGTCTCTACCTAATCATCACAGGCATGTGCTACTACACCCAGTTTATGCAGTACTAGGAACTAAACTTTGTGAACACTACAAAAGACTCTGCCAACAGCCCTACATCCCCAGTCTGATGTCAGTAATTTTCTAATACAATAGCAAAATGCATAAACTGAAAGCAGCAAAATATGAATAATTGGTCCATCTAATGGTGTGTATATGGGAATTCACTGTGTTATTATATTTTCTTACATTATTTTCTCACTTTGGGGGACAATGTATTTATCATGTGCCAGGAGTTAAAATTCCACCAACACTTGGGGCTAGAGACATGGCTTAGCGGTTAGGAGCACTGGCTGCTCTTCCAGAGGACCCGGTTTTGATTTGCAGCACCCCCATGACATCTCATCACCATCTGTAGCTCCAGTTCCAGGGCATCCAATGCTGACCTCTGGTGTCCACAAGCAAGGCACACGTGGTACTCAGACACACATGTAGGCAAAACATCCACACACACAAAATAAAAATCTTAAAAAAATCCCCCATGGCCGGGTGTTTCACTGGGCCATATGAGACCAGGTCACCCCCTCCCACTAAAATCCTGGTGATGGGAAGTGTTCGGCCCCCGACTCTGCCAGCAAGTTCACAACCACCCTTCTGCATGGCTTCCCACCTCCTCATACACCACTCCGGGGCCTCCCTTCCTCTTGGCACAGCCTGGGCTGATGCTCATTCCCGGGATTTCTGCATGGCTCAGCCCTCTCCTCCTCCATCACTCACTGAGGCCTTCTGATCCCTGTCTTAAAAGTGGCACCACTAACCCACATCCTGGTGTTGGCTACCTTTCTTCACACAATACATAACCACCTTCCTGATTGTGGTCACCGAGATTCTCATCCAGACAGAACAGGACAGCCAAATAGGGACCCCACCAAACTGTGCTACAAACACATAGTCCAATGGTGCCTGGGACGGAGTGGATCCTCAGTAAATTTTGCTTTTTTTTTTTTTTTTTTCCAGCTTTGCACCTTCCTGGAACTCCCTTTGTAGCCCAGGCTGGCCTCGAACTCACAGAGATCCATCTGCCTCCCGAGTACTGGGATTAAAGGCGTGCACCACCACTGCTCGGCATTCCTTTTATTTATTTTTATTTTTTTGGTTTTTTCGAGACAGGATTTCTCTGTTGCTTTTGGAGCCTGTCATGGACAAGCTCTGTAGACCAGGCTGGCCTCGAACTCACAGAGATCCACCTGCCTCTGCCTCCCGAGTGCTGGGATTACTTTTGGTTTTTTAAACACAGGGTTTCTCTGCATAGCCCTGGCTGTCCTGGAACTCACAGAGAACTGCCTACCTCTGCCTCCCAAGTGCTGGGATTAAAGGTGTGTGTCACCACTGCCTGGCTCAGTAAATATTTCTTAAAGTATTTATTTGATAGTGTGTGTGTGTGAGTGTATGTATGTGCAGCAGGTGCATGCAGCATCCTGCAGAGGTCAGGACAGCCATGGGATTGTAGTTAAAAGCAGCTGTGAGCCACCATATCAGTGCTGGGAACTAAACCTGGGTCCTCTTCAAGAGCAGCAAGCAGAGCTTTTAACCACTGATCCACCTCTCCAACCCCCTTCAATAAATACTAGACAAATCAATCTTTACACCTCGTCTGTGAGTCTTGTTCTTCCTCATTTACAAACAGACCTCTTCGGGTTCGGAGAAGTAGGTGACTTGCTGAAGACCTTACAGAAAACACAGCCTATGCCTTGTTCTTACAAGGGGCTTCCCTGTCTCCTAGGTCACCTGAGAGATGGAGGTGAATGCTCTACCTTCCCCGGAGTCCTCTCTGTCTCATTCACCACACCACTATCTAAAAGGAGGGCTGAGGGCAGTGCCCAGCAAGATGGTGGTCCTAGGAGGCTCTCGGGGCTTGTGCTGAACCTGGAGGCAGGCGCAGCCTCTATAAAGCATGCCAGTGGGTTTGTGGACCTGTCCATGCAGGGAAATGCTCCGTGAGCAGCTTCATCTCCGGTGCCATGGACCACTCGTCCACCCAAGGGAATGTGAAGCTGACAAGGTCCCAGGAGGTTCAACAGCCACCTTAAAACCTATGCCATCTGAGGGACCATTTGCGGGATCCGCAAGTCTGATAGTTCCATTCTCTGATTGGCTAAGGCTGATGGCATTGTCTCAAAAGAACTTTCGGCCAGAGGACACCAGGGAATAGATATCATAAACAGTGAAAACCCTCCCCCCCAAACTCTCAGGGAGCCCCAAACCCCCATTGTCCCCCCCCCCAGGGCCCAGGCCCACCTTGACCTGGGCGTAGAAGCTGCCCAGGCTGCAGCAGACACGGCACTCCAGCATGGTGTCATCATTGTTGTGGGCATAGCGCAGGGCCTTCTCAAAGCTCTCTAGGGCCTTCTGGAAGAGGCTGAGGCCCAGGAAAGCATTGCCCATGCTCAGGCTGACCTGGCCCCCAAGCTGGGCACCAGCCCTGGCACCAGGCAGGCCAAGGCAGGTCTTGCAGTAGGAGATGGTTTTGTGGAACTCACACAGTTTCTCGTTGCTGCGTGCCAGGTTCAGGTAGCTTTCCAGCAGGAAGTCGGCATCCTCCAGCTCCCGTGCGGTGTCAATCTGGACCACAGCAAACTGACCCCGGGGTAGTAGGCAGACAACATTCAGCCAAGGCTCAACCTGTACCCTCTGGGGTGCCATACCCAGCCCCACCTCACAGCCAGAGCAGCAGACCTCAAAGCTCACACTCAGAGATTCCACCATCTCAGATCCATCCTCCCAGGCTCCAGCCACAGCCTATAAGCTTGAACTGTAGCTCGGACCTGCAGACAAGACCCTTCCACCCCCAGCCTCAGATCTGGAGTCTACCACTGACCAGCCAGACCCTCAAATGGAGCCTGTATCTCCAAGTAGCAAGCAGCAGACCAAAACCTAGGCTTGGAGGTCTGGTCTTGAGATCCCTGGACTCTGGCCCTGATGCCTGAGAATCTCAGGCTCAGAGGCTCAGACAATGAAGCTGAAGGCCACAGGCCTGAATCTGAAGATACCCATCCATCTAAGTCTCAGGGTCCTTCCACGCAGATTGAAAACCTCAGACCCAGCCACTAGCCTGTTAAGATAGAGGATTCTCAGGAAGCTACAGGGGAGCCACCTAGCCCTGTTCCCAGCCCTTTCCCAGCCCCCGGGCCCTCCCATGGCACCCTGGGAAGGTACATCTACCTTCAGCATCTCTTTGTAGCGGCCCATCTCCGAGTGAGCTGTGACCAGGCAGCCCAGCACCCGGAAGCGGCCCACGAGGTCGGAGCCTTTCTCCAGCACCTTCATCCACACCTGCAGTGCCTTCTCTGTCTGGTTGGACTGGTACAGCTGCAGTCCCTTTTCGATCTGTTGCTTTGTCTGGTCCTGCCCCATCCTCCCACAGCCTGACCACTTGCAAAGACTGTGGTGGGCCAGGCGCCTCTAGACCCTCATGGTGTTGGCTCCACGGTACCGGCTGCCCACTGAACGCTGGGAGGCAAAGCAACCCTGGGAGCGGAGCGGGGCCTGGATGGACAACGGGCGCCACCCTGGGAACAAGGCTGGTTCAGCCCCTGTCTGCAGCTGTCCCTGCCAGTTGGGACCACGTGGCTTCTGAGGAATGTCAGCAGCAAGGTCACGAGGGTTTCTGCCGCACCCACCCAAAGCTGAGAGGTGGCTCCTCCAGGGACGCAGGCGTTCTGCCACCTGGGAACCTGTCTGGGTGCCCCCTTGGACACCTCTGACACCAGCCTTGATGACCCCGGAGGTTAGACTTTCCTGAAGCCTTGCCAAAGGCTGTCTGTCAGCCAGGATGTGGGCGAGCCTCAGGACAGGGGTTCTGACAGCAGGAAAGAAACAGACAGAACGCTGGGCACACAGGCCTCAGGGAGCAGGGGTGAGGGCTCAGCCTGCTTGTTCCCTTTTCCTCTCACCTCTGCTTTTCCTTTTTTCAGTTTTTGTTTCTAAGACACCGTTTCTCTGTGTAGCCCTCCCTGGCTGTCCTGCATCTCGCTCCGTAGCCCAGGCTGGCCTCGAACTCACGAACTCACAGAGATCCATCTGCCTCTGCCTCCGGAGTGCTGGGATTAAAGGCGTACGCCACAACCACCCAGTGCTTTTCTTCCTCTCTTGTTTTTTAAGACAGGGTTTTTCTGTGTAGCTCTGGGACACCACACTCAGCTAATGGACACCTCTTTGTTTTTGAACAGGGTTTCTCTGTGTAGCCCTGGCTGTTCTGGAACTCACAGACATCCGCCTGCCTCAGCCTCCCAAGTGCTGGGATTAAAGGCCACCACCGCCCGGCTTCACCTCTGCTTCCCCCCTCTGTCCCCTCCCCCATTTTATTCTTGCAGTTTACCCATCACTTAGACACTTACCCGGGCACATGAACACATTGATCCTGACACCTCACCTTAGACAGCTGGTGCCTGCTTCCTTCCTAATTCCCTAAACAACTAACTCATGCAGCTCTCTGGGCCCGATTCCTCCACAAGGCGAGGATAAAGTCTCACAGCAGTGCAGTGGCTCACACACAGCACAGCACCGCACACTGGCTGCCGGCCCGGCTCTGCTTGCTACATTTCTGTGTTAGCTGTGTGAGCACAAACAATCTGGGCAAATTCCCGGCCTGAGGAAGAAGGGTTAACCGCGCCCAGTTCACAGGACTGTCACGGCACTGACCAGGACTCAGAACAGGCTCTGGTGTGAAGGAAACACTATGTGTTAGAGAGAAAGGATGACACTACCCCAACGACAAAATGACAACCGAGGGCCACAGCTCGGTCCTTAAGAAGTGTCCCAATTCCAGGGACTGATGAGCTGGCTCAGCCAGTAACAGCATTTGCTGCTAAACTGAACCTGGGCTCCACCCCTGGGCTCCACGTGATAGGACGGAAGTGACTCCCACAGCTGTTCTCTGACATGTGCAGGTGCATGACCCACGCGCGCGCGCGCGCACACACTTGTAAGAAAGATTTTAAGTGCCCCAGTTCTAATCCCAACCCTGGTCTGGCAGCACAATAGTGAATTTAATGCCAGACCCTGGGGGGTGGGGGTGTGTCTCACAGAGAAAGGAGCTATATTAAACTCTAGACTCCACTGGAGCTGTGCACTTGAGAGTGACCGCAGAGGCCCCTGCCACCCCTCTGGCTCGACTAATCCATGCTCCTCCAAGTCACTTCTGGCCTCAGTGCAAATTTCATTCTGCTAGAGCGGGTAATTCCGTGGAGTTTTAGCATAGTCTCAAAGTTGTGCATCGACTGGCACTACTTCCAGAAGGTGTGTACCCACCAGCAGTTCCCTTCGGTCCTCCCTGGTTATGGCTGAACTGTCTCCTCTTCTAGATTCATGGGGTGAAGTCCTAAGCCCCAGTTCCTCACAAGGTAGCTCTATGTGGAAATACTGCCTCTAAAGAGCTAAATAAGGCACAGTGAGGTAAGAGGGGCTGTGTGACTTTTTCTGGAGAAATATGAAGTGTCTTTTTACTACGTAGACTTGGGTGGAACTGCCCTTAAAAAAGTCTATTTAGCCGAGCAGTGGTGGCACACACCTTTAATCTCGGCACTCGGAGGCAGAGACGGGTGGATCTGTGTGAGTTTGAGGCTTGGACGACAGACTGAGTTCCAGGACAGCCAGAGCTACACAGAGAAACTCTGTCTTGAAACACCCCCCCCCCCAAAAAAAAGTATATTTAGCTGGGTGTTGTGGGATAAATGTTTGTATGGCCACTCCATTGTACCCATAAATCCACCTTGAATCAAAGGACAGAGTCAGTGATTGGATGACTGGGATTAGCCATAGAGTTCTTGGAGGACTGAGGTTTGCTAGAGAAGACAGGAAAGGAGAAGAGAGACTTTCAGGGGAATTTCAGGTGCTGGTGATTCAGGAAAAATGTGAAGAGAGGGTCAGCCAATTGACTCTGTTATCCTTAGATTGAACAGGTCTTTATTTCTGACTCTGAAGTTTTCATGATAGTGGAACAATTTAGGTATTCATTACTTCCGGCGCCCAACATGGAGCATCATTAAACCACACCAAGGTGGGAAACTCTCCATGCCGCATCCACTGCCACAGCCAGATTTGGCTCCCTTCCCACAGGCCCCCCACGACTGTTTCTCCATGTCTGGAGGTCTTCTGTTGCAGCCTTTCTACAGCACCCTTCAGCTGTGGCGCAACCCCCACCCCACTGGCCTCCTCCGGAAACTCTCTCCGAGCTGCCAACCCAGGCCAGCGTGGCTTCCTTGAGACCTGCTTGAGGCTCAGACTTTTAGTGCTGTTACCACCACTGCAATGTGCTGAGGAGCTGGGCATGCACCACTGGCGTCCTCTACACAGCCATGCTAAGCAGCAACAGCTACCATTGTCTGCATCCCAGCCCTGTGCATTTCTCCTACCAGATTCCTTAGAGTAGCTCTTCAGACAGCTCACCGCCCTGCCCTTACAGTGTGTGAGCAGCCACGGTAGTCCCCATTACATGCCCTCCATGCCAGCACAATCGAACACCAGAACTGCAGCTGATTACCCCTGCATATCTCTGCCTACACTGTCAGCATCATCAGATCTGGTAAGACGCTTGGGAATTTTTAAGTGGGGACTTAGGTTAAAAAAGGGGGGTGGTTAAGAATAAAACATATCACAATGCAGGGAGTTAGGACCCTGTTTGGTGCTAATATGGATGGCTTGCAAATGGTGATAAACAGCTTAGCTGGGATTGACATAATGTGGATCATAATTATCATCACTTGAGTAGTTCATATTTTATCCTTAAAAAGTGGTTTGATAACTGTGCCAAATATGATAATTTGACTGATAAGATACAAGCCTTAGAAAGACCTACTAATCAAAAGGAGCAGAACCTACCACACCATTAGAGGAGCAGCCCAATGTTACTACAAAACCAACCTTAAGCTTTAATCCCAGCACTTGGGAGGCAGAGCCAGGCGGATCTCTATGAGTTTGAGGCCAGCCTGGTCTACAGATCGAGATCTAGGACAGGCACCAAAATTACATAGAGAAATTGTCTTTAAAAAAAAAAAAAAGAAAAGAAAAGAAAAAAAAGAAAAACACATAGAATAAAAAAAACCATTATGGATATAGTAAAAAGGAAAGAAATGTTAGATTTGAAGAGATTTAAGGAAGCAGTTGTTTCATATTGTACATTCACCCTTTGTAAAGATGTTAAAATTATGGGCAACTAGAAACAGAACTATTACACAAGATTAACAGCAGTACTAGAAGCTGGTCCTCAGTTACAATGGAAAACATGGAGAGAAAGGAAGCTAGGGCCACAGAACAGCAAAAAGGGGCTGGAGGTGTGGACATTCCTCAAGACCAGCTTCTAGATGAGGGTGACTACACTGGTTTGCAAGGACGATTTAGAGGATGATTACACCTTGGTGCAATGTCACATCGCAACTTTGAATGCTTGAGACATGGTTGAAGAATCAGGAACGAGGACTGGGTCATTTGCTAAAATTTTAAAAGTCCCAAAGGAAGCCTTAACTGATTTTTTTTTTTTTTTTACACAGATTGACTTCAGCTGTAAATAGAATGGTATCAGATCCAGAAGTTAGACAGATATTAATTAAACTTTTGGTTTTGAGGAAATGTCCTAAGAAAAAACAAATTATCTTAATGGTACAATGCACTTCCAATAGGATAAAATCTCAGACATCTTCCCAAATGTTTGTCTCTACTGTTCTCTACAGACATATAAGGCAAATGATCTTTTTGTAGTCCAAATTCAATTAAAAATTAAGGCTGGCATGCAATTAGAGCATGGCTCACTTTTTCTCTAAACCGAAGCATGCTCGTTAAAGGAAAAATCCAAAATCTCTCCTTCATGTCAAAAGAGCCATCTAGTGTGGGATAGAAGAAAAACCGAAACCAGGGACTATTATTCTATTGTCATCTGATAACATTTTGAGTCTAAAGCAGGTAACTAGGAACTAAGTTTGTATACCCCAATGTATTTAATAGATTCTGTTCCTTTTTTTTTTTTTTTTTTT